GCTGCCGCAGATTCAGCTACCACGCAGGCAACAACATCAGAGGCAGAAAGGGGATCTTTGACACTCCCAAGCATCATTTATTAAGAGTGAAGACAACCTTACCCTAAAAGCCACCTTATCAGACCTCTCCTCAGACCTCATTGGCTAAAATTGCATCACAGGTCCATTGCTTAAAACAATCAGTGGAAAGGGAAACAGAATTACTGTGACTGGCTTAAGGCAAGTCAAGATTCACTTCCAGAGAGTAGTGAAGAGGCCTCCACTCTCTAACCTGCCTCCTGTAGGATTCCTGAACAAAATCAAAGCTGGTAGTAAGGAAGAGAAGGAGAAATGTCAACTGAGTTGCCAAACATTTGCCCCAGAATACCAATTAAGTTTGGTATCTGCCCTTCCTCCCTCAGTCTTTCATACCTACAAGCCTAAAATAAAGCACATTGTCTGCCATTTTTACATCTGATCCTACTGGTTACCAACTATTGATGGTTAGAAATAATTTTTTCAAGACAGGGGCGTACTCTGTCACCAGGCGGGAGTGCAGTGGCACGATCACAGCTCATCATAGCCCCCACCTACTGGGGTCATGCAATCCTCCCATCTAAGCTCTACAAATACCTAGGAATACAGCCACAAGCCACCATGCCTGGCCCTTGAAATAATTTTAACAGCTGGTTTTAGTACATGACCAAGGGGCTTCTGATGTTTCTGCTGTGTTGCAGAAGACTGTCAACATGTACATCTGCAGGCTCACTTCACGAGAGTTCCTTGAAAACTAGTATTTTGGGTAGGAAAAAAAAGAAAGATTTTGCAATGTACTCTCTAATCTAGATGCGTATTAGAATGTGATCTTTCCCTTCTACTACTGTTTTCCTTTCCCCATCTCCCCAGTGTTGAAAGGTCATTAGTAAGATAAGAGCTAGTAAAAATACACCTTAGCAGCAAAACAATGGTGTCAAGTTTACACTGTGAAGGGTGGTCAATACAAGCAGGAGGAAGTCTACACTTTTTTTAGTTGTTCCATTCAGAAAGATTTAAAACCTCTCCAGTAGCACAGACTAAGGACCAAGTTCAGCTGCCCCACCACAATTGGGCCAACACCAAGGCTGCTTGGCTGGCTTCAAGAATGAATCTCTGGTATCTTGGAGGCGGGGGACAGAAGAATAAAATGAAAAACAGGGGTTCATAGGCAGGAGGGTACAACAGAAAGAGCACAAAGAGAAATCAGCAAATATCAAATCACAAAAGAATTTCAGAGTCAGCTCCCAAACTGCCATAGCAGCCTTACAAATCATACTCCTTTCTTCCCCTGAAAAGAGGATGCCCAAGATGGACATTAACTCAACCCAAGTGTATAACTGAGGTCCTAAGAATTGGTCAATTTGATCTGCCACTCTGTAAAGGTCATCTAGTAATGGCTTAAGCTCCTTTTTTAAATTCCAGACTTCTGAACTGGTTAACAGAGCATTTACAAAGCCAATGCCCACCACTCCCCAACCTGGTGGTACCTCTTTCAAAGGGAAGAGAGTCGGGGCTGACTCTTTAGGTGTGGAGGGAGGTGGGAAATTCTGAATATATATTTTACATTGTTCTACCTCATGCTGGAGTCCTGTTAGAGGGGTATTTAGGTTGGGACGGAACAGGCTTGTGGGATAGTAATTCCCAAGAGTCAGGGTTATAAGGAGAAGGGATAACATAAGCAGAGGAAGAATTCCAAATGGGATCTGAAGTGGCAGCGGCTGCTTGAGGAGGATTGGGGACACTGAGTGGGGGAAGATAACCTCGGGGATCCCATGCACTGGACTCTTTAGACATGGGAACTGGCTTCTCTGACTTTTCATTCTGAGGTGCCAGATTGGATTCTTCCCTATTTGTTTTTAAGGGAAAAAAGGAGGACAAGTCTCTGCCTCCAACAAAGAGCATAGTCCAGTTCTTCTTGAGACACTGGACTTTTATTATTAACATATTGGATTAGAAGATTACATCTTCATTCAACCCAAGCTTTGGCCAGATGATTGAGGGTTTGAGGATGGGTCCTTGAGTCCAAATAAAACAGCAATATTTTGTCATCTCTTGCTTTTTCTTATATTTAGTTCTTTCACTATCCTTCCAGTATTTAAACATGAGACCTAGGGGGCTATCAAGGGGAATATCCTTGTTACCATTTTTGTCCTTCTTGCTCCCTGTCTTGCTTGGGGTATTCCCCATCTTCCTAGTCTTGGGGTGAGGTCCAGAAAAGCACTAGCTCTAATATCTTCACTGGTAAATTTTACCAAACACTTAAAGAACTAACAACAATCCTTTTCAATCATTTCCAAAAAGTTGAAGAGAAGGGAAAACTTGCTAACTCATTCTGAAGCCAGCAGTAACCTGATCCCAAAGTCAAAGACACTACCAGCTCAAAAAAAATACAACCCAATATCAACTTATTGCATAATTCTCAACAAAATACTAGCAAAATGAATTTAATACCCTATTAAAAGGATTGTACACCATGACCAAACGAAATTTATTCCTGGAGTGTAAGAATGGTTCAGCATATGAAAATCAATAAATTTGATATATCACATTAATAGAATTAAGGAGAAAAAACACATCATCACCTTAAGTGATGCAGAAACAGCACTGGACAAAATTCAACATCCTTTCATGCTAAAAATATTCAACAAACTAGGAATAGAAGGAAACTACCTCAATAAAATCAGAGCCATATATGAAAAACCCACACCAAACATTATACTCAATGGCGAAAGACTTAAAGCTTTTCATCTCTAATCAGGAATAAGGCAAGGATGTTCACTTTTGCCACTTCTATTTAACATAGTACTGGAAGCTCTTGCCAAATAGCAAGCGAGATAAAGAAACAGAAAGCATCATGGTGAAACTCTGTCTTTACAAAAAATACAAAAATTAGCTGGGCATGGTGGCATGTGCCTGTGGTTCCAGCTATTCAGCTATTCAGGAGGCTGAGGTGGAAGAATCACTTAAACCCAGGAGGTCAATGCTGCAGTGAGCCATGACTGCCCCACTGCACTTCAGCCTCAGTGACAGAGCGAGACCCTATCTCAAATTTAAAAAAGAAAAAAAAAAAAAAAAGAAATAGAAGGCATCTAAATTGGAAAGGCAGAATTAAATTATGTCTGTTTGCAGATGATATGATCTCAAATGTACTCAAATGTAGAAAACCCTACAGAGTCCACATACAAAAAAAAAAAAAAACTGTTAGAACTGATAAATTCTGCAAAGTTACAGGATACAAAATCAACACACAAAAATCAATTGTGGTTCTACATGCTAACAGCTAATAATCTGAAAAAGAATTTACAAAAACAATTTCAACTACAATAGAATTTTTAAAACTCTTAGAAATGAACTTAATCAAGAAGGTAAAAGACTTGTACAATGGAATCAACACATTGCTGAAAGAAACTAAAGGACATAAATAAATGAAGACACATCCTATGTTCTTGGATTGGAAAACTTAATATTGTTAATATTGTTAAACTTAATATCATCAATACTACTCAGTGATCAATAGATTCAGTGCAATTCCTGTCAAAACCTGAATGACATTTTTGCAGAAATAGAAAAGCTTATTCTGAAAGTCACATGGAATCTAAAGGGACCCCGAATAGCCAAAATGATCATGAAAAAGAACAAAGCTGGAAGCATCAGCTTTCCTGGTTTCCAAACTTACTACAAAGCTACAATAATTAAAACAATATGGTACTGGCAAGAAGATTAATTGGTAAAATAGAGAGCTCAAAAAAAAAAATCCTCACATATATGGTCAAATGACTTCTGGGCAGTTTGCCAAGACATGTTTTGTAAAGCATTTAAAGGTCACTTATTGGCCCAGAAATTTTCAATGAATTGTCTAAGTGGTTCATGCATGAATTCCATCCCAGATGAAAGCCTGATTTACAAGTGTTGGGAAATATCAGTGTAACTTTGTATATCTGTTCATAACCCTTTGGTGTCTATTTGGATTTTCGTTAATAAATTTGAAAAAGCTCTTCATATGTCTTTACTATTGACAACATAGAACACCATGTGTGAGGCAAATATTTTTGTATGTTGTTATTTTTACTTTCTCTGTGGGGTTTTTCCCCATTTTTAAAAAAACTAAAAAAATATCACATGCAGTTTTGAAATTAAGCCTAGTGAAGCACCTAACGCTGCTGAATCCTAGCACTACACTACTGCATCTTTGAGCATGGTGCTTAGCTCTCTGGGCTTCCTACTTAACAACAAAACCAGGATAGAAACACCTCCCACCTCAGCATCCTTTGTATCTGGGACTACAGGCGTGTGCCACCACTCCCAGATAATCTCCGTATTTTTGCGTAGAGATGGGGTTTTGCCATGTTGGCCAGGCTGGCCTTCTAAGAGATCCACCCACCTGGGCCTCCCAAAATCCTGAGATTACAGGCATCAGCCACCACGCCCAGCCTTGACTATGTTTTAAGGATGGGTCACCTGCTCTGGAAAACTGGAGAATTTATATGCAGAGTATTGCTTTCTTCCAAAGATGGCTGAATCCCATTACTAAGTAGTAAGCAGCTTCCGTGTGTCTGGTCACTGGGGACATACAAACATGACTTGCACGGGACCCCCTGCCTCCAGGGGGCGGGGACCTCTAAGGGACAATCTGGGCCCCGGGAGGTGGGTGTGACCGGGCGGGAACCGGGAGGCTCCAGGAAGCTCACCCAGGCCCCCAACCAGCGTCCCGCCCCGCTTCGGCTCCAGCTAAACGGCGCTCCCCGCCCACCGGCAGCAGCGGGCCTGGCTGCTGGCCCAGAGACTCGGAGCCCTGACTTGGGCCCGGCACGAGGAGGCGGGGATCCGAGCGGCCGAGGCTAGGACTTCGAGACCGCGGCTAGGACTTCGAGACCGCTGGGGCGAGTTGCGGGGCGGCGGCGGGAGGGGGCGCTGCGGAGCTCCGCGGGCGCCGCGCGGAGGAAGTGCCCTCTTGGCCGCGGCCGTCGCCGCCGGGGCCACGCTGCGGGGTTTGCCAGAGCAGCGCCGCGGGGGCCGAGATGTCGTCTCGGCCGGGGCGCGAGAACGCGGGGGCTGGAGGCGCGCGGCGGCCGCGGGAGCCGCCGGAGCAGGAGCTGCAGCGGCGTCGGGAGCAGAAGCGGCGGCGGCACGACGCGCAGCAGCTGCAGCAGCTGAAGCACCTGGAGTCCTTGTGAGTCCTGAGCTGTCGTCCGCGCGCCGCCCGTCTTCTTGGACCAAGGGCCCCGGCCGAGGGGCGCAGTGGTGGGCGCTAGGCCGGGTCCTCCGAGCCCCCGCGAGCAGGCAGGGGGGCCGGGCCCAGCAGGAGCCTGGTGCGGGCGACGGACGTCGGGCGCCGCGGTCAAGGACTTCAAGTCCGTCCCCCTGGTGGGGAGCGAGGGGCGTTCAGGGAGCCAACTGCCGTTCGGCACCAAACAGAACCTGACTTGGGAGGCCCTGAGCTTCCCTGGCTCCACGGGGTTTCAGGAGAGTCCAGATGACCCGGGAAAGTGTGGTTTAAAGACGATTCAAATATAGGGGAGGAAAATATGGCTTCCCTCGACCCTTCTAGGTTCCGTAGCTGGGCCACAAATTAAATTGTCATAAGACAGATTAACAGGAGAAAAACTTTTAATTATGTACCCATGCACTGGAGGGCCACAAAAGTGAGAGACTGAAAGAAGGGCCAGGGAATAGGGGCGTGGGCCTTTTGGGGCGTGGTGGAGACAGGGAACGGTGAGGGGGAAAATGTATGGTGAATAAAGGTTGCTTTGTTATCCAGGTTAGGCGCTCAGGCGATAAAAGTTGCGGCCGAGCAGCTCTCTTCCTATTACAGATACATTTACTACAGAAAACCTCCTTCGTAGGTGTAAATTTCTCTTTACAACAGGAGAGTCAAAAATTAATAAGAACAAAAGGGAAAAAAAGCAGAGGTATACTTTATTTTAGGCAGTTGAGGGGTAGCTGGGTAAGTTACCCTGTGTTAGTTGGTTCTGTTACTTTAGCTCAAAGTCATCAATATGCCAGGGTGGCATGTTTGGGGATGGTGTATTCTCGTCTTTTGCAGTCATTTATCAGGTGGTTTTTCCGAAATTCGAACACAAACCTCGGGTGGAAAGTTCGATCAGCAACTCTTCCAGTTCTTGTCTGATTCTAAAATTAGCTGCATCAAACCACCTTTTACGTGTGGCGTTCACTCAGTTATTCAAGAATTCGTTTCTGTTTTAGGCGCTTCTAGTTACCTATGTTAAGTAATTGTTAAATTAAGTATAGCCTAAGAGCTGCCTCCTTAAATATTTTAAGTTTAGCCTAAAAGTTTCTCTATACACGGTAAACTGTAAGTGGATGTGTAAACAGACTGTTACCTACTCTGTAACCTACCTGAGTCTCAGGCAATCACAGCAGCTGATTTTCAGGCCGTCACAGGTGGTCAGCCTTTGAAACTCTGTTCAAATAAGGGAAAAGCCAGGTTGCAAGGAATCCAGCTATTTCTCTATCTCACTTTGCTTTTCTGCACCTCACTTTCCTTTTCCCGTCCATAAACGTTATCCCACCAGGTGGCAGCCTCAGAGTTGCTCTGGACCTATTCTGGTTCTGGGGGTGCCCACTTTGAGAATAGTTCTTTGCTCAAGTAAAGTTTAATTTGTCTACTTTTTTAAAAACATAATTCATATAAGGAAAGATACTCAAAGAGTTAAAATCCTTCATAATTAACCTTCTGGGAGGTTTGATGTGAAATAAATTCCTATGTTGGGGTTTGGTCTGCTCTTTTTCCAGTGTGGCCCCAGAGCGAATGACTTTTCCCCTTAGCAGGGCAGGGGTCGCAGGATAGAGACCCTGCATTGTGTGCATCCACATTACAGGGCAGTCTTGGCCCTTTCAGGTCACTCTGTGGCACTCTTGGTCTCCCAAGGGAAGTCAGATGTTCAAAGATCTTCCCTAGCATAAGCAACCGAAGGCCTGGCCCTACCCAGCCCTCAATATATTTAGTTACAGAATGCCAGAGGATGGTTAATTTCACTTATTGGTAGCTCAGAGAGCTTTTTCACAAATAAGAGAGATTATAACCTACTTTTACAGATGAGAAAATGGAGGAACAGTGGTTAAGTTATGTGATCAAGGATACATTGACCAGCTAACCAGCAAATCTAGAGCTGAACCCAAGTGTTTTTTCCAGTTTCTGAGATTTAAAACTGAGTGAGCTGTTGAGACATTTGCTTTGGCTAGTTCAGAATCCTGTTTGAGCTTTAAATTGTATTTATACTAGAGTAAAATGTCGTTTTAAAATTCAAATAGTACTAAAAAAGCAATAGGCTGCCTGACTCCTCAGTAACCACTCATAGTCCCTGTGTCCCTCTTCCCCCTCTCAAACCAGGCTTCTCTGTGTAAACTTTTAGGTTTTACTTCTGGGATTTAACTGTATATTTCTAAATTGTATATACTGTTTACTTTGATTCAACATCCTAGACATACCTATTAACTTCTTGTCATAGTAAGGATTTAGTTCTTTACCTACCCTTCTTGTTTCCAGTCCTCCAGTGTAGCTCCATCATAGCTGCTTTTGCTAACAAATGCTTAGTATTAACATTATTATAACTAGGCTGGGCTCCGTGGCTCATGCCTGTAATCCCAACACTTTGGGAGGTAGAGGTGGGAAGAGTGCTGAGGCAGGAGTTCTAGGCCACCCTGGGCAACATTTATAAACCCTATCTCTGCCGAAAAAAAGAAAGACATTAGCCAGGCGTGGTGGTGCATGCCTGTGGTTCCAGCTACTTGGGAGGCTGAGGTGGGAGATCTGCTTGAACCTGGAAGGTGGAGGCTGCAGTGAGCCATGGTTGCAGCACTGCACTCCAGCCTGGGCAGCAGAGTGAGATCCTATCTCAAAATCAAAACAAAAGTAATATAAGTATGAATTATTACTCACTTTTGAGCCAAGTAGTGTTCTCTGATTTATTTTGCTTTCTCTACTATTGTTAACTTTTAAGTAGTTAATAAGAGCCTTCGTTTTTTCACTTGCTTAGTTTTCTACTGCTATTTTTTTCCTCCCAAAGTCTCCAAAATCTGAGTACTGTAAAGCTGAAAAGGTGCCTTCCTTACTTATCATAGGAGTCACAGCTGACACTCATCTATAACAAAAGATAGATCAATATGGAAAAGCTTAACAAATGTATTTAATCAAAGTTTTATGTGACATGGGAACCTTTAGAAAGGAAGACCCAAAGACCCAGAGGAAACTATTTTTATGCTTAATTTGGATGAAGAATGTATAGAAGAAGTGTAGAAATATAATTGAACAAAAAAGGGTATAATGCAATGGCAATAGACGGGGAAAACTCAGCAAGACTTGTCTAGTCAGATTCTTCAGACCTCTCTATATATCATTACTTCCTCCCAGGTATGGGGCAGGACCCCTTCTGGAACAAGGGGTCCCGATCTGTCAAACAAGGTAGGTCAGCTAATTTTTTTATGGCCAGGTCTGACAGAAAGACAAGGAAATATTAGGGTAATATTTGTAGGAGTTTTTAATTATTATTTTAAATATAAAGTTCCACTGAGATTTTCTTTTCTTTTTCTAAAAATATTTTTAAAAGTCATTTGTAGGTCTTCTGGCTTGCTCTGTGGGAGAGTTGTTCTAGTTTCTGTGTCCCACTGTGGAAAAGAGGAGTTCTGGCCTCTCTGACTGCTTTGGGATATCATTTTCTGAGCCCCAACAGTACTTTTTCCACACATAACTACATATCAGGTAATCACTCAGTTCCCTTTTATACCTAGAATCTTCATTCTGTCGTTCTTCAGTACAGTGGTTACTTTTTAGACCTGGTGTCCAACAGTGGTCTTAGCACATCCTTTACCACTCTCCTATCGTGCATCTCATTCCTGGATTCCATGTCGTCCTCTTTATATGTCTACTCTCACATTTTACCCAAGCCCATTCTTCAACTTACTATGAAAGTGCATTGGAGGTAAATTTTTTAACACCTTCCATATCTGAAGATGTCTTTAGTCTATCCCAAAACTTGGTACATAATTTGACTAGGTATAAAATTACAGGTCAAAAATCATTTTGGGGCTGGGTGTGGTGGCTTACGCCTGTAATCCCAACACTTTGGGAGGCCAAGGCAAGAGGATCACTTGAAGCCTGCAGTTCGGGACCAGCCTGGGCAACAATGTAAGACCCTGTCTCTAAAGAAAATTTACAGATTAGCCAGGCACAGTGACATGGACCTGTAGTCCCAGCTACTGGGGAGGCTGAGGCAGGAGGAAAATAGTAACAATTTTCACTGAGTTTTGGCGATAGTACATCACTATCTCCTAGCTTCCAAAACTGCTAAGGAGTTTGATCCAACTCTGATTCCCTTTCTTTTATAAGTTACCTGTTCAAGTTCACCTCACCCTTAAACATTAAGATACTATTTTTTATTGCTGCCATCCTGAAGTTTGATGATAATGTCAGTCTCTTCTAATTGACTTTTTTTTTTTTTTTTTAACTTTTAGGTTCAGGGGTACGTGTGTAGGTTTGTTATATAGGTAAACTTGTGTCATGGGGGTTTGTTGTACAGATTATTTCATCACTCAGGTACTAAACCTAGTACCCAACAGTTACTTTTTCTGATCCTTACCCTCCTCCCACCCTCCACCCTCAAGTAAGCCCCAGTGTGTTTTGTTCCCCAACTTGTACAGTTGACTCATTTTTTCTCAACATGTCATAAATGCATTAACTGCATACATCAATTTATGTATTTCCTCTGCTCAATTTTTTTTATTCCTTCTGTTGATTTTCTGTTGCTCTGTCTCTTCTGTCTCTTTGTATTTTCATTGTTCTTTGTAGATGTATCTTTTTCTCTACAGAACATATTTTTAAATTCTGTTATATATCTAAATCAAAAAGCTTTTTCTTATTCTGCAAGTTGCTTTTTATAGCATCCTGTTCTTGTTTCATAAATGTAGTATCTTCATTCATCTACAAAGATACTCATTTTTCTTTTTTGTTGTCTTCTGTTCCCTACATTGTGTCTGTTTCTTGTTTCCCTTTTGATTGCTGTCTTCCATTTAGTAATTTTTTTTCCTTCCTCTAAAGTCTGAGTATTCTTGAATCTCAACCATATTTTGTTCTGTTTTGTGTTTTTTAGAGATAAGGTCTCGTCCTGACACCCAGGCATGATCATAACTTATTGCAGCCTTGATTTCCTGGGCTCAAGTGACCCCCCCCCAACAGAATCAGAATGCAGAGCAGCTGGTACTGCAGGTGCACACCACAACACCCAGCTAGTTTTTTTACTTTTTTTTTTTTTGTAGAGTTGGGGTCTTACTATGTTGCCGAGGCTGGTCTGGAACCCCTGGCTTCAAGCAGTCCCCTCACTTCAGCCTCCCAAAGTGCTGGGATTACAGGCATTAGCCACTGCCCTGGCCTCAACTCATTTAAGAGTAGGCACTATAAAGCTCTTACCAAGGGCAGCTGTGTGTGGGAGAGAAAAAGAGAGAAGGTGTTGTTTGTTAATCAGATAGCTTCAGGGTGCTCATGCTACAGGGTACCCTTTTTATCAAGAGACTTCCAAGTGTCAGTAGTTTTTTTTCTGGGGCTCCTAAGTTCCTCTAGGGAAGGGTCTTGAGTCCCCTGCCTGGCGCCAGGGATCTCTGCCTGATTGCCAGTGTCGCTGGGTGGGAGAGGCTAACCCTGAAGGCAGGCTCCTTCAAGTGTTGGGTAGGCAGCCTCCTGGCCGTAGGAAGAAGCCTCAGGACTTGATGTCCATACTCCCAACCTGCATCTTCTGAAAACTGTTACTTCCTCCACCCCTAAAAGCCCATTGCTGTTTCCACTTTCCTAAATTTGTTGAAAACTTTCTCTGATGTTGCCTCCTTTTGGGATATCTTTGTGGCTTTTTAGTTTTTTCATTGTCATTTTTAAAGCATCTGGGGAAGGAGATAGATAAGCATGTTGGTCAGTTGGCCGTGTTAAATGGGAAGCCCCACAGTGCTGTTTTACAAATCGAATTCAAATCTTTTCATCCCTAATGTGATGGAGTCTCCTTAGTCTCCACCACAGTTTTCCCTTGGTGACCCTGCCTGCCAGGGCCCTGAGGGCATTGGAGGCCTCCTCCTGTGCTCCAACACTCTCTGTCACTCAGTAGCTCCTGGGCTGCCAGGCATAACAGAGCAGCCCTTCTGGGGGCATGTGGCAGTTTCACCTCTGCCACACAGCCCCTTGGATGCAGCTGCAGCAACAATTGTGTGGAATGGACTACACTTGCATTAAGGACTCTTCTCAAAGAAAACCCATCTCAAAAGTCAACAGAAAGAGTAATTTGAAACACTTAACAGAAGATTTCTTACTCTGTACACGCTTAAGAAGATAGTGTGTCTCCCCTCATACATAATGGTAGTCTTCTTAGTCAGAGATAGTACAGTCTGAATGACTAAGTAGGGCTTTTCATATGACACAAAATAATATACCTCACTCAACTTTTTTTTTAATTTTAAGAATTAACTGCAGCTGGACACAGTGGCTCATGTGTATAATCCCAGTACTTTGGGAGGCCAAGACAGGAGGATTGCTTACTGGAGCTCAAGGCTGCAGTAAGCTATGATTGCACCACTGCACTCCAGGTTGGGTGACGGTGACTGCAAAGATAAATGCATACCTCTTAACTGTCACAGTGCAGAATCTAAACTGCACATAAACATACTTCGGTTTTCTAATCTGTGTTTAGTAGTTAAATAATACTTTGAGAAATATCTTTTTGAGTATACCACTAAGGAATTGTTCAGCCCTAGGAAACAACTTTAAACTTGTGAAACCACTTGGAAAATGAACGTTGGGAATCCCATTGCTAACAATATATTTCCAAATGTGCAGTTGCATCACATTCCTTTTCATCCTGGAAGAACAGTTACTTTTTTTTTTTTTTTTTTTCCAGAATTTGGATCTCAGTTTGATTGGCCATAAGTTGTTTTTTGTATAATGTTTGTGACTCAAAAGGATTTATTTATTGGATTTTAGGATTTATAGACTTTACTGTCAAGCTCCTTCTAGTCTCTATGCATAAGGTGTAGCATTAATGTTTCTAATGAATGGCTATAGTTAAACTGTATCATCTTCATAAGTTTAGAGATTTCCATTGTTTTTGCTAAGTTAGGCCTATGTCATGCCACAGCTTTTAGAAATATTTTAAGCATCTACTTTGGGAAAGCACTGTACCACACTTACGAAGCTAATCCTGTTAATACATTTGTTTACTATTTAATCTTCAGGGAACAGATATGGGATTAGTGGTATTTCTAATCCATTGTCCATCAAGTTGTTTTCTCCCACATCTTATAGAAGGGGAGAATGAAATCCTTTTTTTTTTTTTTTTTTTTTTTTTTAGATGTAGTCTCACTCTGTCTCCCAGGCTGAAGTGCAGTGGTGTGATCTCAGCTCACTGCAACTTCCACCTCCCAGGTTCAAACGATTCTCCTGCCTCGGACTCCTGCGTAGCTGGGATTACAGGTGCCCGCCACCATGCCCAGCTAATTTTAGTGTTTTTAATAGAGACGGGGTTTCACCATGTTGGCTAGGCTAGTGTTGAGCTCTTGACCTCAAGTGATCTGCCCACCTCAGCCTCCCAAAGTGCTGGGATTACAGGCGCGAGCCACTGCACCCAGCCGAATGAAAATTATTTCACTTTTCCCTTAGGCTATTCTTGACTCCCTTTTCAATATTCATTGTCTTCTAAAGGGTCCCTTAAACTATGCAGAAGAGGAACGTTCAGGTGAAGAAACCATTAAATCATTAAGTGTTTCTATATGTTGCAGCCATTCCGAAGTATTAAAATGAGAAAGCCAGGTGTCATGGTGGCATGGTGCACAACTGTAGTCCCAACTACTCAGGCGGCTGACATGGGAGGATTGCTTAAGGCCAGGGGTTTGAGACCAGCCTAGGCAACACAACAAGACCCTGTCTCAAAAAAAAAAAAAAGTACTTCCCAAAAGGTTTAGAGTCGAGGGCAGACCTGAGCTAAAAATATTTGCATATTACTCTTTTGGGAGGCGGTACAAATTGCTTTAGGAGGCCAGGAGTTGCTCTTTGAGTGCACAAACACCTCACCTTCAGAATTTCCTTCCCATCTCACTGCCTGTCCCATCTGCAGACTTACATGCCCAGCATTCTGGGTCTCCTCTGGGTTCAGTCCCTGGATGGAAATAAGGAAGTCCTGGTCAGTCCCAGGTGGGTGCCACTGAGCACAGGGAGAAGGGTTTTGCTCTTCCCAGGTGATTGCTTGTCTGCAAACCAGTGGTAAAAGCTTACTGTTGCTAAAATCTGTGATTCAAAATCCTACAGCCCCCTTTTTGCAGCAACTTGATGTGTTATGTTTACATTAACATGGTTGATGGTTTTGTTTTTTGTTTTCCAGTTATGAAAAACCTCCTCCTGGGCTTATCAAGGTTGGTGTGAAGTTTGTGGTTATTCCACTAGACATACTTGTAGACTTAGTAACGTGTTACGAAAAATGGTTGCAAGACATTTAAATCTTCTTTTACCAAAAGCCTGTTTCTTGCCTGCGGATGCCTGAGGGGTCACAATTTTTAGTTTTGTCACAAGCCTCTGCCTTTGTGGAAATTTCCTCAGCCATGTTTCCCTTCCCCGAAGAACCAGTGCAGACCCACGTGGGTTCCTTGGCCATGCCCCGCTTCTCTCTTGCTGGTGATAGCATCTCTAAGCTCCACTGCCTCCGTTTCCTGGTCAGCCTCACCCGGCTCTGCCCTTCGGTCCATCCTGCGCTGGTTTCTTGAATATGAGCAGCTCAGAGAGCAGTAAACTCTGAGGAGACCAGACAGTTCAGCAGTCCAGCTCCCCAGTGCAGGCCTCCCTTCCACAGCTCCCTGGCCACAGTACCAGGGTGTGTGTGTACGACGGAGACTTAGAGTGGCAGGCCATGGCCAAGAAAACTCGCTGTCTCATAACTCTCAATGAAGAAAGATTCTTTAAAAACATTTGTCTATTGCAAATTTAATGTTCATAGAAACTTGAAAAAAATCCAACAGTTTAAAAACGCATTAATTGTAAATGCAGTTACTGAGTGGTAAAAATGCATATCAGAGATATAGCATGTGTGTAACTATGAAACTGACAGGGCTCTCAGGGTATAATAAGGTATTCTAGCATAACAGGCCATTTCTATTACTCCAGGAAGCCTGGCTTACTTTAATTATACATTTTGAGGTGGTGAAACTTTTTCTTTTAATCTTAGAATCTAATTTACATCAAAATTTGGAGCTTACCAGTCACTGCTATATAAGGACATTTTTCTGCTTCACCAGTAACTTTTCTCTAAGAACAGCTACATTGTTTTTGGCATAGTTGTTTTGGTACATTCGTTTGTTTCTTCAATCAGGTGTAACTTGTCTTTCTTTCTAGTTCTGAGGGGTAGTTAAGGGGATGTTGGCACCGGCAGCCCAGGAAAAAGCCAGGCGAGGGTAACTCTAAGGGCAGTGGGAGAGAATCCCAGTGCTCTCTTGCCTTGCTGTTTATACCTGTTCTCTTTGTTTAGGAAGATGAGACTAAGCCAGAAGACTGCATACCAGATGTACCAGGCAATGAACATGCCAGGGAATTTCTGGCTCACGCACCAACAAAAGGACTTTGGATGCCACTGGGGAAAGAAGTCAAAGTTATGCAGTGTGAGTGTGGGAGAGTTTCCCTAATCCGTGCAACTTACATGCCGCAATTTTACTACTTTTATTTAACTTGTTCTCCTCACAGCCCTCTTATAGCCAAGGCATGTTTTCCATCTTCTAGATGAGGAAGCATCCACCCCATCCCCCACCCTCGTGCCATGTGAATACAAAGAAAGAGAGCTGTCATCTTAAGCCAGGAAGGAAGCTCTCACCATAGGCCCATCTTGCTGGGACCCTGATCTCAGATTTCCAACCTACAGAATGAATGAGAAAATCAGTTTCTGTTGTTTAGGCCACCCAGAATACAGCATCTTGTTACGTCTGCCCAAGCTGACTAAGACACTATCTTTCTGCAGGTTCCCGTAGCCTCTCTCCTGTGTTAGATCACTAATTTTCCTGTGTCTTGAGTCTCCTTTATTATTATATTCTCTCCTTAGGGTATAACAAATCCTATGGCAGTTACCTTCAAAATAAGTTTATAGGTGATAAAGATGTCAAGACCTTTACTTTTCTAGAATCATCTTTGACAGATTCTTAATTTTACCAGGATATTGAATTCTAATTTAAAAATAAGTTTCCTTGAGAATTTTGAAGGGAATGCTTCATTGCCTTGATCATTTGTTAAAAGCAAAGACAACCTGCCCTGAAACATCTGAGTTCAGTACCCATCGGTTTTTCTTCTTTGGGTGGGTTGTATTTTCCCAAAGAAGGCTCCCATGCAGAGGGAAAGCCATGCTGTGAGAGTTCTGGGAGCTGAGCGGAGGAAGTCTGGACATGTGTCCATCTGCTTTTCATTCATTCATGTGATCCTTTGCAGCTACTGCAGCAGCTTCCTTCAGACCTACCTGATGTCTCCCTGGTCTCCCTGGCCAGAGACCTTCTGTTTTACCTTTTCCACAAATTAAACCTTCTTTTTTTTTTTTTTTTTTTTTGAGACGGAGTTTCGCTCTTGTTACCCAGGCTGGAGTGCAATGGCGCGATCTCGGCTCACCGCAACCTCCGCCTCCTGGGTTCAGGCAATTCTCCTGCCTCAGCCTCCTGAGTAGCTGGGATTACAGGCACGCACCACCATGCCCAGCTAATTTTTTGTATTTTTAGTGGAGACGGAGTTTCACCATGTTGACCAGGATGGTCTCGATCTCTTGACCTCGTGATCCACCCGCCTTGGCCTCCCAAAGTGCTGGGATTACAGGCTTGAGCCACCGCGCCCGGCTTAAACAACCTTCTTTACCAGGGTCAGGGAAACAGGGTGTCACTCTGTCACCTGGGCTGTAGTACAGTGATACGATCACAGCTTACTGCAGCCTCAATCTCCCAGAATCGGGTGATCTCACCTCAGCCTCTGGGGTAGCTGGGACTACAGGTGTGCACCACCAGGCTCAGCTAATTTTTTTTTTTTTTGTATTTTTGTAGAGATGGGGTTTCACCATGTTGCCCAGGCTAGTCTCGATATCCTGGCCTCAAGTGATCCACCTGCCTCTGCCTCTCAAAGTGCTAGGATTACAGGCATAAGGCACTATGCCAGCCAATGTTAATATTTTAAGAGAACTTGTGATTTTGTTTACTTAAAACTGAGAGATTTGAACAGAGGTCGACTCATCCTGAGAAAGAAGCTATTCTGGTGTCTAAATTAGTAAATGAGAAACAGAGATACTTTATGAAAACATTTACTCTGAAAAATATACTGAGACACTCTTTTAAAAATTCATCTTTTGGGCTGGGCATGGTGGCTCACGCCTGTAATCCCAGCACTTTGGGAGGCCAAGGCGGGCGGAACACCTGAAGTCTGGAGTTCAAGACCAGCCTGGGCAACATGGCAAAACCCTGTCTCTAGTAAAAATACAAAAATTCGCCAGGCATGGTGGCATGCACCTGTAATCCCAGCTACCCGGGAGGCTGAGACAGGAGAACTGCTTGAACCCAGGAGGCAGAGATTGCATTGAGCCAAGATTGCGCCACTGCACTCCAGCATGGGCGACAGAGCAGGACTCCATCTCCAAAAAAAAAAAAAAAAAAAAAATCTACCTTTTGAAGTAATTTTCCATTGGATTGCTTCCTAAATACTTGGTTATATAATATTATTTCTAAAGGTATTAAGACTAAAGGATGCTTGGGGAAGCAATTAGTTTACCTCTGTTTTCTGGGATCTTACATGGCTTGCCCATGATTATATTTTGTTTTAGAATTGGAGTTTAGTGAAGAAAAATTTGAATATATTCCGCTGATTCTTTATCTTGAGTAGGTGAAGCTGCATTATCTTACAGAAATACTTTTCTTTTTGTTTTTAGGTTGGCGCTGTAAACGGTATGGTCACCGAACTGGCGACAAAGAATGTCCTTTCTTTATCAAAGGCAACCAAAAGTTAGAGCAGTTCAGAGTGGTAAGTAAAGCCCCACAATGTCAATTTACGTTTATCAGAGATGGTGAAAATCAGTGAAGCAGCAAGTCACCAGTGAAGTGAATGTTCACATAAAATACGTTCCCAGAAGCCTTTTGGCCAAAGTGTATGCTGTTAACTACACGCTTATTAAATTACATTTGTATGACAAATTAGCTCTTTAAGAAACTGAATTCTTACTAAAGTGTTGTTTGCTTATAACTTGGAACGGTGATGTTTTTTTTTTCTGAAGCAGACATTGTTATCTGTTCAGCCCCCCCTTTTGATACTCACTATGTAAAAAGTCATGTTTCATAACTAAAATCAGGGATTTAATTTCCCAGTCTTTAAAGAGTACATATCTTTCAGTTGTAAGAGTAAAGTGTCCATATATTTTCTTCTTTAGATGATGGTTATTTCCTGTATTTTTGTTTGTTTGTTTTTGAGGTGGCAGTGTTACAGCTCCGTGACTGCTCCTGCAGAGCAGGGCTACCCCAGAGGCAGTGTGCTGAAAGTAGCCATTTCCTGTATTTTTCTAATTGGAAAATCTTTTTTTTAGCCTTAATGAGTTTTCAGTGATGTGACCCTTATAAGGATTAGAACATGTTGAACATGCAGCTACATCAAACAGTAAAAAAAAAAAATAAACTGGATTCCATAACATAAGGATTTAATTGTATTTAACTTGGGGTCCATGAAGCCTGACCAAACCTTAACCTTCTCTGACCCTTAAGGCACATGAAGATCCCATGTACGACATCATACGAGACAATAAACGACATGAAAAGGATGTAAGGTGAGATCATCCTGATGGTAACAATATCCTCTTAAAGTTTTAAAATTATATAAAGTTGGAGAAAACCATTCTAGTGTTAGTGGAATGGTATAGTAAACATGGTGCTTCAATTGTGAAAATTTGTAGAATGCAGGAGTCATGGCTGAAAAGACCAGTGTTGGGGAATGAGCAGGCCAGCCTCCTCCTCCTTGGATTAGCTTAAAGCTGTGGGCTTGGTCTAGCCCTCTGGCCTCTGCACGTAATATTGGCAACCCATGTTGTGCTGTCTACTTGTACAGTACAATTGATACTTTCATGTGATTCAGTTTATCTTCTCCAGTGTCTTTCGGGATCTGAGCTTTTGTTAAAAATTATACTTAGGCTAGGCTCAGTGGCTCACACCTGTAAATCCTAATACTTGGGGAGGCCAAGGCCAGCGGACTGCAGAAGTCCAGGAGTTTGAGACCAGTCTGGGCCACATGGCAAAGCCCCATCTTTACAAAAAAATATAAACACAAAAATTAGCCAGGTATGGCAGCACACACCTATAGTTCCAGCTACTAGGGAGGATGAGGTGGGAGGATCTGCTTGACCCCAGTAGGTTTAGGCTGCAGTGAGCCATGATTGCACCACTGCACTCCATCCTAGGTGACAGGGCAAGACCCTGTCTCAAAAAAAAAATTAGACATGATTAGAGAGAGGTGGAAAAAATTGGAGGGTTTGTTTTTTCAAATTGGTGGCATCAAATTATAACTGTTAAAGATGTAGATTTAGAAACTGAGCAGTAGGGGAATGGTTTAGTAAGTATGCAGCTATTAGAAATTACAGTTGTAAGGACTGTGGAAACATGCAGAAATATTTCGGACAATGAAAAGAATACAAAATGGCTTGTACACTGGTTACAGTCATGTAAAGTAGGCATTCAAGTGGAGAAAAACAGGTAAAAAATAAGTACTGTCTTTGTGACATGGTTATTCATGATCCTCCCATAATGCTTTTGAATGACATATTTAAGAAATTGTTTTAAGTTAAAGCTAAAACTCACTGTTCTTGGATCAATCTTGAATGTTTAGGATTCAGCAGTTAAAACAGTTACTGGAGGATTCTACCTCGGATGAAGATGGGAGCAGCTCTAGTTCCTCTGAAGGTAAAGAGAAACACAAGAAAAGGAAGAGGAAAGAAAAGCATAAGAAAAGGAAGAAGGAAAAGAAAAAGAAGAAAAAACGGAAGCACAAATCTTCCAAGTCAAATGAGAGTTCTGACTCGGAGTGACAAGAACGTGACTTGTTCAACATTCTCTTCTCAAACACTGGCCGAGGAACAGAGGAAGATGCAGTCGGAGAAAGGACCAGGATAGAGACGCTGAGAGAAGAGGATATGTGAGTCACAGCAGTGAGCACCCACCCGCCTTCCAGTGAAGATGTGACCCCAGGAGAGGGAGTGTCTCCTTCCAGGTGCTAGCTCTAGACAGTGGCTGATTTTAGGCAGGAAAGTTTGTACAGTGTTGTCCTCCCTGCTGGTCACATGCGTTTACGATTCCTTTGAAATGTCTTCCACAGGGTGGCAGGACTGAGGGAATCTCTAAGGCATGTCTTCCAGGCCCTGCCACAGTTTGTGCCCTCCACACTGTGGACTCAGTTCCCGTGGATGTCAGGCTTGAGTTTTCTCTGTTGTTGAGAATAATAAAAGTTCAGTATTTATTTTTTAAATGGAATGTATTTATTTATGAATAATACATAAATGTAAACAATACATAATACAAATTTAAAAGGTACATAAGATCTAATCATGAAAACTCTTCTTTTTCCTTTCTACTACAGTTACCTTCCCCAATGTCTACCAGCAGTACTAGTTTCTTGTGAATATTTTATATATCACAAGCAAGTACAAGGTTTTTCTTATAAAAATGCTATCCACATTCACTCACAAATGGTTAAATTTTAAACTGAGAAGTATGAAACCTTACAGTGGTCAGTATATGAGGAGGGTTGGATCCAGGACCAACTCCCTCAATCCCTCACAGATACCAAAATCCATAGATGCCCAAGTCCCTTACATTAAATGGCATGCTATTTGCCTATTGCCTATACACATCTTCCCATATACTTTAATTCCTCTGTAGATTACTTATAACACCTAATACAATTTAATAGTTGTTACAGTGTATTGTTTAGGGAATAATGGCAATAAAGAGAGTCTGTGCATGTTCCATAGAGACAGAACCATCCATTTATTTTTTTGTTTGTTTGTTTGAATATTTTCTATCTGCAGTTTGCTGAATTCATGAATGTAGAACCTGCTGATGATAGGGTGGGCCCACTGTTTTTATATATCGAGTATATTTGGCTTTACTGCCAGATCAGAAGTGTGTGTTTACATTTACCTGACATGATTTGTTGATTTGGGGGCTAGGGAGTTCTTACAACAGTGAAAACCCTTATGTGGCTGCATTCTACTTCACTTGCTTTCTACTGTCAGAGTCCCACAGTTTTCACAGAGTGACTCAGAACAAGTTTAAGAATATGTAGGGACTTCCATACTGGGTCAGATACCCACATCCCAAAATTCATTCCTCCCTTTCTTCCTCTTCCTGTTGCCTGACCACAGCCCATCCATGATCTTGTAGCTGAGACTAGGCCACAGTAGAGGCATCTGAGGAGGCCAAGGTGTGCCTGCAGCTAGAGGAGAGGAATTCTATCATTTGCTGAGCCAAAGAGAAGCTGGATCTTGCTCATAGGCAAGGGTGTCCCTCCATGGCTTGCACTGGTCTCTTGCTGCTTTAGGTTCTCGGTTAGGGTCTGAGAAACTCACTCCCATTTTCTGCCACTTTTCCTGGGGTTTAGATTCCCTCCTCTTTAAGGTACAGCAAAGCTAGGCCCAGACTGACCCTTCTTCAACTCATCAGTCAATGCTACTGTTGTTGGCCTTAGAATACAACCTCAAGAACACAATTGATCAAGAATGGGATGGCCAGGACTTGTTATTTCTGAAAACTCCTAAGTCCAGTGGATTCAGCCTTGCCTTACACTTATCCTTGTCATCCTTCCTCAGCATGAAGAACACAGGCCATCTGTCCTCTGCCATATGCTCAGTATTTCCCACCCAGGTAGAGCTGGTCCTCTTCTTCCAGGAACTGGCTACGGTCCTCAATCCCATTCATGATAAAAGCATTCTTATACAACATGAAAGGTGTTGTGTCAATTATTCTCAAACCTTCGAGGCATCCAAATCAACTAGAGTGCTTGTTAACATGCAGATTCCTGTTCTCCACCACAAACTTCCAGAATTTTCCATTCCCTAGGTCTGGGGTGAACCTGGGAATCTGCCTTGCTAACAAGCAATGCTGACGCTGTTGGTTTGGGGACCCCACTTGAAGAACCTGTGCTCTAGATCTCTCCCCTCTTACTGAAGCCTTCTTACACTTCTTGCTTTAACTGGAATCCAGCCATCCACCCCTGAGGCCCTTGCAAGTAAACTGCTATCCCTTCTCTTTCACTGGTTTACTCTGTCTTAACCTGTTTCTGGCCTAGATTCTGGGGAACATCACTTCAGCCTGTCATCTCCCCTGACCTGTGGTCCTTTTGTCCAGCTTTCCCAAAAGAAACTTCAATTAAAATCTTTCACTTCTGCTTGTATATAAAGACTGCAGGGGAAAATACATACGCATGTGGCCTGATGTCCCCACAACTTCATCATCTCCAAACTCAGATATTTGAGAACTGACCCCAAAATGCCAACTAGCAAACCAAAAGCTTGCTAGTCATCTGTTTAAACCTTCTTCATTTGCAGGCATTTCCTTCAGGTTCTGAATGTTCTACTCCTATCCAGGAAGACAATATCAGCCCTCAGACCTCCCCTCAACTAATACATCCAACCATCCCACCATCATGGTGTACAAGTTAGGCAAAATTCTAAAATGATCCATGATCTCTCCCCCTAATCTTCAGTGCTGTTAATAGGATGCATTTTACTCTTGTGAATAGATTATGTAACCAGCACAAGGAGAGGCAGACCATGTGGGTGTTCCTAACCAAATCCTGAGAGCCCTATGGAACTCCAGAGTTGTCTATGGCTAGTAACCAAAGAGGAAGTTAGAGAATCCAAGCCTGTGAAAGATTCCACACATCATTACTGGCTTTAAAGTTGAAGGGGCCACATGGTGAGGGATGCCGCAGACTTTCATCAGAGGTTCCCGACTAACAGCAAGGAAGTGGAGCTCTCAGTCCTACAGCTGAAAAGATCTGAATTCTGCCACCCTCAATGATCTTGGGTGCATATTCTTCCCCAGAGCCTCCAGATGAAAGCCCACCTCTGCTGACACCCTGGGTTGGGCTTCTGGGATGCAAAGTAGAGAACCCAGTTGAGCCTGCCTAGGCTTCTGACCTACAGCACCATGAGGTAATCAATGGTGATGGTTTTAAGCTTTTACATTTGTGAGAAAGTGTTCATGCAGCAAACTGATCCAGAGGTTTAATGAGCTTTCCCTCCTCTCAGGCCAGTCCATCACCTGTGCTCTGGACCCTACCATCAGCCAGCAGTAGGGGGCAGTGGCTGAAGCACTGGCCCTGCATCCAGACTGCCTGGCTTTGAGTCCCAGCTTTGCTAGCTGGGGAGTTTCTCCATCTCTCTGTGCCTCCATGTCCTTGACTAATCATATCCACCTCCCACACTTCTAGTGAGAATGAGGGGACATGATATGCATAAAGCATTTAGAGCAGGGTGTGGCCCATCTCAACTCTAAATGAATGTTACCTGCTCCTGCTGCTACTGCTACTGCTGTCACCATCATCTGATCCTCGGGGAACCTCCTCCTTTATTCCATGTCACTCACGTCTTTAAACTCCTTTCTACTGTGAACTTGCCACCGGTATTTAACAACTGTTTTAAAATTGTAAAATACATGCCCATAAAGAGTTCACAATTCTGGCCAGGCATGGTGCCACTCGTGCCTGTAATCCCAGCACTTTGGGAGGCTGAGGCAGGAGGATATGCCCCAATAAAATAAGTGTGCCCCAATAAAATAAATGGGAAAAGGCCCCACCCAGCTTGCCCCCTGTTGCCACAACCTCAGCCACTGTAAACAGGACTGCCCTGAGAGCTGAAGGGCCCAGGGACAGAATCCCAACCCTTCAAAGCCTTGAGCTAAAGGGGCTCTCTGCTCTGGCTAATCTTAACTGGTGACTTAACAGAGTGGAAGAGAATTCATTTCACACCATGTAAATCTGAGATGTCAAGGCTCTCCTTAACAGAAAATACATGAGCGTGCTAGGGGTGCTGGCCCCACACTGTGCAGTGGCCAGAAGGCTCACAAATCCTCCTGTAAAGCTTAACCTTTTCCTCTCCATTCTTTCTTTTTCTCTTTTTCTGTTCAATTCAAAGACCCAGCCCTAAAAGAGAAAAGACAATTTCTAATATCCTAACCCCTTATTCTGTCATTCTCTTTAAAACTCCAGTTGGTGACATATTATGGCCCACCTTATACATGTTTTAAACTAATAAACTACAACAAGAAAAATTCAGCACTCAAATTGTTAACCTGCACAACGGAGTTAAGTAGAGTCCCCTAAAGCTCTCTATTTTCCTCTTTTTTTCTACTTGCTTAAAATCTGCTGTTACTAAGCTGCTGGTGCTGAGATAACACTCACATGGTCTAACTGGAAGGTAAACATTGGAAACTCATTTAAAGTTAAAGAAAAAAAGAGGTAAAAGAGGTTTTATTAAACCAAACAACTTATATTTTTTTAACTTCCCTTAAAATTAATGAAAATAAATCCAACACTTCTTTTAGCCTTTTTTTTTTTTTCAGATGGAGTCTCGTTCTGTCACGAGGCTGGAGTGCAGTTGCGCGATCTCCGCTCACTGCAACCTCCGTCTCCCCGTTCAAGCAATTCTCCTGCCTCAGCCTCCCAAGTAGCTGGGACGACAGACGTGCACCACCATGCCCGGCTAATTTTTGTATTTTTAGTACAGACAGGGTTTCATCATGTTGGCCAGGATGGTCTCCATCTCTGGACCTCGAGATCTGCCCGCCTCAGTCTCCCAAAGTGCTGGGATTACAGGCGTAAGCCACTGCGCCTGGCTGAGACATTTTTAAAGCTGACTCTTTCTATTCAGTTTGATCACAGACTCTCAGTAACAATACACCCACCTCTCTTGAGCAGCTTCACCCTGTTAATATTGATGCTTTTGTAAGGGAAGTAGTATACAATTGCTATTTGCAGGGAAACTTCCAAACTTACTGCCCAAACAAAATGTCTTTATATGTGCCCTAGTAATACCATATACCCCCACACCACAAAAACAATGTGCTGAGGTACTAGGTGTTTAACTGTTTTTCTTACACTCTTTACAGCCCTTCTTTCTTATCTCCATGAGTTTGCTATATATTGTCATTTTCCTTAAGGCTCTATTTTTATTTTGTTGATCTTGGCTAACTACTATCCAATGGCTGCACCCAGGCACCCACTCCACCCAATAATATCTCAAGTTACTAACATAACACACAATACTGACTGCTGGATGTGTCTATGCAAATAAGCACTTGAGGATAATACACTCTTAGCAGTCCCATTATCTATAGAAAAAAATTGTTAACACACAAGCCCAATACTTTGGATTCAACTACACTATTTAGATTCACACCAAAAACACAGGTATAGAAAGGGGACCTAGGACAATCGATCCCATGTGGCAATCATCCACCATGACC